GTCGGACTTGATGATCTGCTCAGATCCCTTCCGACCCTACTAACTATGAAATTGCTTGTCTGGGCCTCAACATGGAAGGAAAGGAGCTACAGAAAAGCTACAGAAGTCAGTGCACCCAAAACTACTAATAGCTCTTCCGTGGTCTGATGACAGAGCCTGGCCTTCTCCAAGATCCCAGTATCAGATGGGGGAAGGCAGCGTAGATGACAGACTACACCTTGGACAAGTAGGGCTTTCCCAGACAAACCACACCCCCCAGATGATTATAGCTTGTTACCAGGGTTGCTGGGCTGGATGTGATGAGGTTGCTGGTGGTGCTGCTGCTGTTCCGCGGGTCTCCTGTAGTTGGCGCCATCCTGAGAGTTCCTGCGCTCCATCTCTCCACCTTCACCAGAGCTGGAACCCATCCTGCTCTTCTCAAATTCCTCATGGTACTTTATCTACAAGAGGAAAAGAGGCAGCAATTAGGATGCTGCCTGCTGGCTCCTTCCCTAGGCTTGATACAGCTGGGCTACAGAGTGCGTTTAACCTGCTAGCACAGACCCCGTTCCCACCAAGAAGCACGGCATGCATTGCTGCAGCCACTGGAGATGCAGACATCTCAAGCAGGAAACTGCCTTAGGTGCTGCCTCACTCGGATCAGCCCTTGCAGAAAGAGTCATCCCAGGGTTTGACCTAGGTCCATGCCTATGGCCTGGTGCCAAAGGACTATGCAACTAGAGAGCACGCTTCAGGGGTCAGGGAAGAGCCCGTGACTCTTTCCACCAAACAGGCTGTTAAAGCACAGCCATGACATCCAGGATGTGCCCTAACACTTCTTGTGCAAGTTCAGCTGGCTACCCCTCACATCTTGGCATGTTAATGCTGTGCCCCTTTAGGACATTAGACCCCTACCACATCCCATCAGAGGTGGAGGGCTGCAATACCTACAAAAGCTCAGGGCACCTCTGGGACAGCCACAGAAATTAATTGCTGTTCATGCTGCTCTCCAGAAGAGGGTGCCAGAGACTCTCAGCAGTTCCAGTTGGAAAGGCATCAGGACCAGGCAGCTGCAGGGTTTGCAGCGGTGTTTGTTTGGGGCTAAGGGAACCTTCCTTTCCACATGCACTTGGTCTGGACTGATGGAGACAGGTACAAATTCTGACCTATAACCAGGCTCCCTTTCCTGTTGTCCAGAATCTGCTCCTTGCTTTTGGCCTCTCAGCAAAGGGACAATTTGTGGCCCTGTTATTCTACCCTACAGATAGCCAAGACTGCTTTGCAGTATCTGGCACTGCCACTTTTCCCCTCACCTTCCCCTAGTGTTTCCACATGCCACTCCTCATCAAGGGCAGGCTTTCTTGCAACAGAAACTGTCTTTGCCCCCAGTCTGTAGAGCACCCAGTACCCACAGGGCTCAATATCTACAGTACACTGAAATAGACAGTATGCCAAAAAAAGTCTGCCCAGGAGCCCGTTTGCAGAGACATCTGGGCTGCAAGCTCTCTGGAGGAAGATACAAGGCCCTGCTCAGGCCAGGTTTTTGGGAGTGGGGGTGGAAATCTGGGTCACTTCTGCCCATTTCATCCATCATTTGAGTTGCAGCTGTAGATGCACATAAGACTGTGGTGCTTGATGTTACAGAAACAGCAAAGACAGCCCCCGTCTTGAGGAGTTTACACAGTCAAGAATGGGACAGCATTCGGTAGCAGTTGAGAACTTGCTTCAGTTTTTCCAGACAGGGGGCCTGCAGCTTTCGGTGAGATGTCCTGTTCTGGCAGGGTACTGCAACCTGCAAACAAGCACTTTACAACTCCCACTCATGAAGAGCCTGGCTCCCAGGATTTGGCAGGCATGCTTTGGCCTTGTTACAATACACCCTGGGCACTCCTGTACTATATATTGCAGCTACTTGTAACCATGTGGTAGCTTATGTGCTGCCACAGCATCGGGAACCTTCCGTGCAATCGCACCCTCTTGGTAACTAAAGTAGAAAACATGCCACAAAGTCCAGCCCAGCCCTCTTCCCAATCACACAGCAAGTCCAGTACACAGCTCCTCACATAACACCACATGTCCTTGCCCCCCTTCCCCACCTGCAGTCGGAGTCCACACTGTTCCCTTCCTAACTGGGCTGGAGATACTTTAGCTAATAATGCTTGGCCTGATTACCAAAGAAACTGGTTTTCTCCGACTTAAAAAATAAAATCCCTAATTTTCAGTTTGCAAAAGTAACCCCAAATCCACATTTTTCTGTTATCAAACCATGATTAGAACCAATTGGGGTGCAGAACTGCTTCTTCTGTGGGCATTCATAGGGATTCCTCCAGCATTAATGTGAGCTGAGCTGCATCAAACTAAGGATGCACCTCTGAGGTACTGCAATACTGGTCAGGGAAGCAGAGCTCACCCCTGCTTGCAATAGTACCAAGGCTGATCTGACCCTCAAGCACTGTTAGTTTCTTTTCTCTTTCAGCCACTCTGCGAAGATCCTGTGTTCCTGGCTCTGACCTCTGAAGCACAGTAGCTTGGCCTCAGATTACTTCAGCTGGGAACACTCCCAAGCATCTAATTGGAGCCTAGGAGCATGATAAGCCAAGGGGGAGCAGAGTCCAGAAACATAGTGGCCTGCGACTTGGCCAAAACACTCGAGCACAGACAAAAATGAGGCAGAATGAGGGTGCAGGAAGGGAACCCCTACCAGGGAGGGCTGCAGGTTGGAACCATCATGCCCCACTACCTCAGTTTAGCTCCCTTGATTTTGGCCTCCGTGCCAGCTCTGCTGCAGCCAGAAGACGCTATTAAAAGAGAAGGGACTGATGGTCTAGCTGTGAATCTGCAGACCTAGTACAGCACAGATCAGAGAGGAGAAAGCTACAATAGCCAATTAAGACAAAGGCTCCCACACACTGTGCCTGTACGGTAACCAGAGCCAGGGATGGGCATGTGGTAGGAGACAACTTTAGCTGGACAGGCAGGATTACTGTTCACTGTGCTGAATATAAAACTCAGGAAGCCTCTTGTGAAGTGCAAGGACTGGTGCCTTCTGTCACCTCACAGGCAGTATTGCCAGAGACAGAAGCAAGGACCACAGCCTCTGCCCCATATATTCTAGGCAAAATGCCAGAGGGCTTAAAGCATGAACCAGGCATATACACAGCCCCCCTTATTTTTTTAATCCCACACATTTTAGTCCTAATGCCCACCCTTGTTGTTTCAGTCGCAGTGTCCCCTGAAGGGAGCCTAGCAGTATGTTTGGTTCTGCTACATGAAAACCCAAACCCATCTCAGTCAGAAGTACCTCAAGGGTTTCTGAAGATTTGTTTCCTCTCCTCCCTCCCACCCACAAGACTCATGGTCTGGTGTCTCATCACATCTGTTACAGCCTCCCAGAAACAAGACCTCTCAGGCAAACTTCTGTCCCAGAAACCTCACTTTTAAATAAAAGTTTGAAGGGTCCCAACCTCTGGCTCACTGGGCTAAGTGGGATCAGGGAAGGAGCCAAGAGGTACTGCCAGGACACACATGACTAGTCCCAGCCTTTGATACCTAGCATAGAAAGAGCTCTCTCCAGTGCAGTCTGTTTCTCATTTTATTCCCCGAGCAAAGGTCAGAAGGGAAGGGTTAACTCCAACCGTCTGGGCGTGGGTGTAAAAATTAATAGCCACTTGTGTTAACAAATACACAGCCAATCAGACAACACCTGGAGCCCATTCACTTGCTGGTTAAACAGTTATTTACTGAAGGGAGCAACAGGAACTCTGCCAGCACAGGCAAGAGCAAGAAGTAAAGCCTGGAACAGAGCCTTGCTGCTGGGAAGGGAATTCTCCCATAACACAGCAAGGCAAGAGTTGCACCCTGCTTCGACTTATTATCTGCTGAAATCCTGACCAGGGACAGCTCTGCCTGCAACAAGCAGTTCAGTCTACTGGCCACAGCCAACACTGGTTTTTAGTTCCTGGCTCAGTCAGTAGGTCAGTTCCCTCAGCAGAAACCTGGACAAGTGCCTTCCACAGGGCATAACAAAGGGGTGTTATTTTACCATTGGTTTCCAGAACCTCAGCTTTACCTTTCTGCAGGTGAGCCATGCAGCAGCTTTGAAGTCTCAGGGATGGGAAGAGAAGTTGTCAGCCTTGCTCCTTCTCCAGGAACATTAATGTCCTACTGGACACCTTACTGATCCCATGCCCTCCCAGCTTCCCTCATGAGCCTGTGCTGTCAGGCCCCTTGGTCTGGAGTGGGGGTTTTCTTACAGAAGTAGGTCATCTTTATGGAGGGCAGGACAGCCAGCCAGACTGTATAATAGGGAGCTCCTGCTCTGAACTGCTCCCAGACTTAGGAGTGAATGGGGAGGTTGTGCAGATGGTCCTTAGGACAGGGCTGAGCCCCAAACCTAAATCAGAGAGAAACCCAGAGCACAACTTGCTTGATTTTGTTAGGGGCAACAGGGAGTCCCAGTGGCAGCCAATTGAACAGCCCCCCTCCAGGAGTTATCTGCTGGGAGGCTCCTTCCCTTCCTCTATTTGGCTCTTCACTCCTCACTGTACTGTGCAGAAACTACTGACCTTGATACAGTCTTCCTCAAAACTGAGTTTTCTATAGCACTATAAGCACCACCCATCACCCGCTCCCAACATGGGCCCAGGCAATGTGGCAGGTGGGCGGGATGCAATTTCAAAAGGGGACTGTGCTTTGGGGGAAGAAAGCAACATTTCCTCTGCCAGCGAGTTAATGGCTAAAAGGCCAACTGAAACAACCCATGGGGAAGTGAACTGGCTGCAGGTTCTCCATTCACCAGAGCCTATTTTCACGTAACAACATATCATACAGCTGCAAGGCATCACTGCTTCTTTCCCTCTCCAAAGCGGAGCTTCTGGCTCTCCTTGTCCCACAGATAAAATGGGCCCCTACCTTAGCAGTCCTTTTCTCTTACCCTTGCAGGATCACCAGGCCTCCCTGCTCACTGGCTATTGCAGGGATGCAGATTGCAGTCAGGGGAGCATTTGCTTCTTCCTGTCACTCAGGCATGGGCCCTGTCCTTGCAGTCCCCAGCAAGAGAATCCACATAATGAGATCAGAAGGAAGAGGAATATAGGAATGCTGCCTGTCAGGCATTTGCTTAAGCTTATGCAAAATGTAGTTTGAACTCCTGTGGGAAGAGAGCAGCCAAACAATCGGGATCCTGCACTTTGCCTGAACACTGGCAGGGTCTCTGCATTGTCCTGTACACTGCCCTGCTCCACTCAGGGAAGGGCAAACACCAGGTAGTGCCTAGAAGGATCCTCCATACCCCAAACCACTCTGGCTCCACCCGCCCCTAGCAGCCTAGACTGTAGTTGGCCACAATAGTCACAGCGGGAGGATCTCTGCGCCCAAACACTGAAAAGGGCAACAGTCTGCCCTCAACTTCCTGTTGGGTGGGAAGGAAGGGAGATAGGGTGCGGCTTCCTGGACTGGAGTCCAAATAGTCCCCCTAAAACACCGAGCCAGAATCTCCCTGCACAGAGCCCTACAGAAAGGCTGAGGGGAGTTTATACCTCCTCTACCTCAGGGCTGCTGGAAAAATAATTAAAAAGCTAACCATGTGTGAAGACAGCTGTGTGGTCTGCCCCAACTTGTATCCTTGTTGCCATGGCCACTCTGGGCACTGTGGCAGCTGAAGGGGTGTCAGGGCATTGGAATGCTCCAGCCCCATAAGGGAGACAGGCATAAAGCCAACCTGGCAAGGGGCACCCTGGGTATCACGGGGGAATGCACTCTAGGAACACTACAGCTGCTCTGCAGCCCCCCTGTGCTGGCTAGCCCAACATGAAGGGACCCTAGGGCATTGACCCTGTAACCCATGGGTCTTGAGGAAGGGGAAGTGAGTAATGCTAGCAGCTTATCAAGTGGAAAAAGTAAAGTGATCACGTGGAAAGCTGCAGCATTTGGAGCTGGTTTTGCTGGTCAGCCAGAAGTCAGAACTCTGGATCCTGTCCTTGACCAGGCCAGGGTTTGCAACAGTCTCTGGGACTCTGATAAGCGAATTCTAGCACAAGTATGACATTCAATCAGCAGCTAAAAGGTTAGTTAACCCTTTTTGTTCTGGAGGAAGCCAATGCTGCTGCCACCTCCCCAACAACAAACCCCGAAAAGCCTGAAAGCAGGGACCAGTCCTCCCCACAGATATAAGAGAACGCAGCATAAATCACCCTAAACCCAAAGTACTTACTGCAACAGGGCCAGCATGCATGCACACCAGCCATGCAGTGACCCTCCTCCCAACCGCTTCATTGTGAAGAAAGGGCAGCAACCTTCAGTGGCAGAGCTTTGAGAACAATGATGCGCACCCAGGTTGCTGCAGCACTCTGGGGTGCCTTGAGGGTGCCACAGAGTGCCACACAACATTAGCACTGGTTGGTGTGTAAACATGATTCACAAGACAAACCCAGAGATTTCAAATAGAAATCTAGTGTGAAAAACATCCTGACCTGATGTGGTCCCAGTTCTCTGCAATAGATCTGCTCTCTTATTTTTCTTCAGGCAAAAAAACAACAGCAACAAAAAACAAGTGAACACTAAGGGCTGGCATTTGCCCTGATAGTGCCTTGAGTCTAAAAAGGGTTGAGAATCACTGTTTTGCAGCATCACTAACTGGTAGAAAGGGCATCAGCTTACTCTCTGCAACAGATTGAACTGCCAGGTTAAATGCCACCTGCCATTCCCAGATTTAATAGTGAAGTCTCTAAACTATTAGTTTAAATATTCTCCCAAACCCATCCAAGACTATCATTAGGGCTAGTTATAGAGGCAGCAGGCATTAACTGGGACAAATTGATGTGAGGAGTAGAGAATGCTAAGGTGAGGTGGATACAGGAGTCACAGCTGGTGCCCTGCAAGACAACCCTATGGCTGAAGACAGTGGCCACCAAAACACTGTTTGGGGGTGAATTAAAAGAACTTGAGTATGGGTCCTTAAAAGGGAAAGGTGCTAGAAGCCAATAGCTACCAGAACCAAGGTCAAAACTTCCTTTTGGGAAAGCTGGCAGAGACCAGGACCCACAAGGCTAGACCCCAGAACGAGGTTCCCTTGGGTCAGGGGTGAGGCAGCACATTGACGCTCAGCTTGTATCCCTCCAGCAAGGCCAGCTTTCAGCCTCATGATCACAGCTTTAATGATAGACAGGAAATCAGGTTATGTAGCCTGTCCTGCTTGAGTGGGGCTCGTGGCAGCAAGTGCTGGGACTGCTGTGGAGGCCATGTCTATTCTACCCACGCACACGACAGCACCAGCAGCAGCTGCAGCAAAACCCTCCACAAAACAGCTTGACAGCTGAAACCCGCTTCACACAATAAGGGGCGGGGTCAAGGCAAGAGAAAGCTGGCAGAGGACACTGCACAGCTGTTTAAGAGACAAGAGGCAGAAGGAAGAGTTGTGCATTTGGCTGGAGTGTCCATGAAGAAATATGAACCAGAAAACACACAGATGGTAAACTGGAGTCCATCACTCTATGCTCTGGCACTCCCATGGGAAGGAGCAGCAGTCTGTTGTTGTGCCCCCTGCCGGTAGCAAGCAGACAGCAGCAGCACCACATGTACTGTACTCCATAATGGGACCCCTTCCCCACCTTTTCAAGGCTTAGGGGGAAATGAAGAAGCTTCACAGAATATGAAGTTTAAGGAATTTGTTTCTACAGCAGAACAACTAAAAATTTAAACCATCGTTATGTATATTAACAGAAGGGCCTCGAGAAAAAACTCCACATTTTATGAACAAAAATTCATGAAGTGTGTCCTGTCCCCAGCCACCCCCTCCCCAAGACAGCTAATGGGTTTGTATCAGTTAGTGAGTTGCTCTTCTGTCCCCCATTGTGTAGTCCAAGCCCACCCAGCCCCAGAGGACTGACAGCCATAATGCAATCTACCATGACTAAAAACGACTTACGTTGCTGATCTGATCCTGAGTCTTCTTGATTCTCTGCAGCTCGGGGGTATCAGCCACCACGCTGAAGCCCTTTCCCTTGTTCTTCTCAAATTCCTCCTTGTAGCGAATCTGGGTACAAGGGGAGAATGGAAACAAACAGTGAGGTGGTGAGAATCAGGTAGAGGGGCCTGTTTGGCAAGACCCAATGTCAGTGAGACCCATCTTTCCCAGGCACTGGGGGACAGCCTTTGTAGCCAGCCTACAGGCCCACAAAGGAGACACTCCTAAAAATGATGGTAGGGCCATGGTATTTAAGAGGGCTTTTGTAAACCACCAGTGAGGCATTTCTCCAATGAATGACATCCATTCATTCTGTGGTAGAATTCAGAAAGATCATAGCTATGTTACACGGCAGAAGAAATGAGGAAGACAGAATATATCAACCATATCCAAATTAAAAGGTCATTATACTGAAGTCAACATTCTTCCCTACCCACTGCCCAGTTGGAAATACCTGGAATTCCTTATTGCTTTATACAAAAACTATGTTGGCTCTCATCCCTCCTTGGAAAGGGGTTCCAGCAGCACACTGTTAACACACTGACATGCTACCACCCAGTTCTTCTTAACAGCCTTGTCTCTAGCAACTGCCAGGGGTCTGTGCAAAATCCTGCACCACACCAGGACAGATGTGCACACATCCCCACCATCCCAGAGCCATAACAAGCCTCTGCAGAGGCTGAAGACCAAGTCATGAACTCAGCCCCTTCTGCAAGGAAGGAATGCTTAAGCCCTCACCTGATGGAAGCTGCTCCGCTGGCTTTCACCTCCAGCCAGCAGAAAAAGCATCCCCATTTTCACAACAAAGTGAGATGGTCACAGGTGCAGGCAGCTTCCATGACTGCTCATTGGTTATTTATAGAGTAGAAGTTCCAAATAGGAACTCCAACTGAAAGTGCCAGCCTAGGTCAGGAAACACGCAGATCCCACTCATCCTCCTTTTGAGGAGGGAACTGTCAGTATCTGGGCTTTTCCTAGCATACCAGGATCAGCTGGCAGTGTAGCACCACAGAGGAAGAAGCCCTAGAAATACCGTGACAGGAATTTTCAGAAATGCCTAAGGAGCATCATGGGACTTCTACACAGTCCCTTTGGATCCCCTTAAGGAAACCCATGTTTAAAAAAAAAAAAAGATGTTAACCTGGGACAAGGGGGCGGGGTGGGTGCACATGCACATGTGTACAGAGGAGGATCTGTGTTAACCAACACTTTCTAGAAGCCTACAGGGAAATTGTGGGGAAAAAAAAAAAAAAACACAACAAACCACACTTCCCTCTGATGCTTCCAGAGGCACCAAAAACACCTTGACCTCCCCCTCCCCACATACAGACACAACTGCACTAACAGCCTAGTAAAGCAGAACCTCTGGCCTTGATGGGCTACCCTAGAGTATTCCCAGAACTGGCACAAGCCTGTCCTGCACTGAAGAGTTAGTCTCCATTGAACTTCCAAAGTGATAGTTTTGGGTGGATTAACTGTCCATTCCCCAGTGTGATAGGTGGCAAGAGCAGGCAAAGCCATCAAAGCATACGGTGCCTTATCTTATCTTTAACCCGGATGCTCCTAACCCACCCATTCTCAACCAGGCTGCCACAACACCCTGAAGTGCCTTGAGGTCCTTTCAAGGGTGCCACAGGGTACCACACTGTTAGGCGTGCAAACAATTCACAAGATACACCTAGGGATTTGCAACAGGGATTTCCAACAGTGTCTAAAACATTCTGACCCATTGTGGTCCAGATCCATTGCAACAGAATAATTGCTCCCTTTTTTTTGTGGGGGAGGGGGTGGGTTTTTTGACAACAGAATTAGAGAAAACACAACAAAACAGGTGTAAACTGTAAGAGCTGGCATTTTCCAAGAGGCATCTCAAGGACGGTGATAACCACTGTCTTAAGTGCTTGCTTCTCTCAGGGGAAGGCGCAGACAGCACACTCGGGGAACAAGCCTTCAGGCAGCCTCCTTCAGGTTTCAGATACTGCCCCTTCCCAGCCCCCACTTCTGACTGCAGCCACAAGGAATTGGAGCAGAAGCCTCCTTATAAGGAGAAAGGGCTGGGAGGGCAAGAAGAGCAGGAAAAAAGACAGAGGGGAATATGAGGACAGTCATTCCCTCCCACTCCTCACCTAGAAGCAGGGGAGTGCTCATCCAAGCAGCAGCCAGACACCAGAATGTCTGGCCAGCACAGCCAGCTTCCTGTAACCCTTCCCATCCCACAACCAGCAGAAAACTCATGCCGACTGCCAAGCTTGGATTCAGGAGGCTGAATGGCTGCCTATGCATGAAAAGGGTTTGTGGGAGCAAGTCCCAGACCCTTTGCTATCTTGCCCTCAGACAATTGTGTGCATGCAGCACTGAGAAACCCACAAGCAGGGTCTTTCAGAAGCCCAGAAAGCTTTGAGGTCCTGATCAGTAATATTAAGGGGGGGGGGGGGG